GAACTTAATGATGCGAGTGAGATCGAACTTTTATATTAAACAATTTTTATATTTATATACATATTTATTTTGCGTTTTTAATTTCATAATATAATAGTTTGTACATCGTTAACGATTTTGCGTTTTTTAACATTGAAAACGACCTAATGAAGGTTGAAACGTTTGTTTTTGAATTTTATTAAATTTTATATTTATTTTTAACTAATGACTGTTTATTGCTAAGACCTTTGTAATTTAACTAATATTTGGCTCGTAGCCCTATTTTATATTGATTGATTTTCAAATTTATTGAGCCTTGTTATATACATATTTTTTCAAAATCAATATATTATTAATTTATAACTATGTATTTTTATAGAAGGATCTTTCAAAAATGAAAAAATCACAATTGCAATTGTCTACATGATTGTCAAGGATAATATGCCACTAAACAGCACAGATAAGCCAGGACTGAAATATTTTATGAAAACTGCAATTCCTCTATACAACATTCCAGGGCGGAATAAGATAACGTCCTTAATCGATGTCAAATATGATTACTTATCCGGAGTTACAAAAGAAAAGCTTAGAACTGCTTTGAGTATAACTTTAACGACTGACGTTTGGACAGAAACTATGAATACCATCGGTTATTTAGGTTTAACTGTACATTTTCCAAGTGATGGTAAAATAAGCTCTATAACAATTGGAGTTGTTGAATTAGATGAACGCCATACTGCTACTTATTTGGGAGAAATGCTTTTGACAACCTGCACTGAATGGAATATACAATTATCTAAGGTTTCAGCTGTGGTTACCGATAATGCTGCCAATATTTGCCGAGCAGTATACGATGTATTTGGGAAAGAAAAACAATTAAGTTGTTTCGCCCATACGTTAAATCTTGTACCGAATATTGTTCTTGAAGAAAGTTCAAATGTTAAAGGACTTATTTATAAAGTTAAAAACATTGTTACCTTCTTTAAGCAAAGCGTAGTGGCAGCTGACGAGTTACGCAAAGCTCAATCTACTAATGTTCCGTTAAAATTACTGCAAGACGTTTCAACACGTTGGAATTCAACGTTCTACATGCTTGAAAAATTTCTTATATTGATAGAGAGTGTTTCAAGTTCTTTAATAAAGCTTCCGAAATCACCAGAAATGTTGACAGCATTTGAAGTAGCCACGTTGAGTGAAATTATGAAGATACTTAAACCATTTGAATTGATATCAAAAGAAGTTTGCGGACAAAAATATGTAACGTGCAGCAAAGTTATACCAATGGTAAATGCTTTGCTTCATGAATTAGAAACTTTAAATCCGGAGTCAGATCTCGGTAAAAATTTAAAAATGAAGCTTATCAATGAACTTCAAAAGCGCTTTCATAACATAGAGTTTAATCCAATTCTATCTATCGCCACAATACTAGATCCACGATTCAAAAGATTGCATTTTGGTAAAGCACTGGCCTGTTCTGACGCGATACAACGAATCAATCAATTGCTGGTTAAGGTGCCTAATCCAGACAGTAATGAAAACGTTGTTCCGAATACGGATATTAATAAAAATAAGAATTATGACATCTGGAGTTCCATCGCACTCTGGCTGAAAAATCACAAAAATTGAATCAGGAAAATGAATTGTTTGGAAGTGTCGATTTAGCATTTCAGCAGACTTAAATCTAAATGTGGTTGACATAGAAACTGATTCACTTGAATATTGGGAGAAAAACAGACATTGTTTCCCAAAATTAACCGAGATTGCAATTAAATATTTGTGCATTGTTGCGACTTCAGTACCATGTGAAAGAATATTTTCGTGCGCGGGAAATATTATGGACCAAAATCGCAACAGAACACTACCTGAACGCCTATCAAAATTACTGTTTCTAAATTCGTTACAATTTTCTGAGTGGCAATTAATTAACTAAAAACTTAGTTTCATAGTTTGGTTACAATTTTGAGCCATAATGTTTTTATTACCATACTTTAGAGTCTACACTTCAATTATTTACTTAAGATTACTAATTTAGGAAATACATGACAGATATTCCAAATTCTTTATTATCCTTGTTGTTGGGGCTCTTGGGGCCACACGCACGATGGTCGCCCCTGCATTGACGCCATAGGAAGATGCGCGCGCTACGAGAGCGCGGCAGAGTTACGTTATGTTCGTTGTGAAATACAACGCGAGCACGAACACGTTAGACTGTCACCGAGTCTTACGAGATCTAAGGACATTAGAGTCTTACATTCTGTACACTCCTTCTCTGTACTCTCTTACGAGATCGTTCGCATAATAAACCCTTTAACCAAAGGACACAACAATTGGCGCTGCGGACACGAGTCTCAAAGTTGAGGTTAGAAGAACCACATGCACGATCTCGAGATGGAACAACTTTTGAGTGCATTAACTCAAAGTCAACAGCAACTAGCTCAAGGCCAGCAGATTCTCATGCAACAGTTGGCTGAATCGCAGAAACACATAGTAACGCTTTTGCAACAAACGCAAGGTAACCTCGCTTCTACTTCTTCGCAATCGTTGGTTACGGATAACATTGTTTCCGCCCCTCTGGCAAAATCTTCTCAATTCTCAAACCTTGCCAAGCGTTTGGGAAAATTCACGCACGAGCCTGATAAAGGCAAAACCTTTACGTTGTGGTACAATTCGCGCAATTAATGCCTTCCAACCCTGTTTTGACATTACGTGTTACCTTCTCGATTATTTTCATGTTAATGGCTGTAATAGACGGACCAGCCAGCAGAATTGCGCGAATTTCTCCAACCTCTATAGCCCGTGTTCGTGACATCTCGAATGTGTGTGTTTAAAGTTTAATTGACAGTCGTAAACTTCGCTTTAAAATATATTTACATAACCAAATTTTTTATTATTTACTGCTTATAATTTATCAGATAAGTCGCCATTCTTCCTTTTTATATTTATTTAAACCTCTATAAAATTAAGAAAAAATATCTTTGTGCATTTTTTTTTTGCTGAAGGAAGCAAACAAGGAAAAATTTTCAACGATTTGAATCTTTTAAGACTTTGACGGAAGAGGTTAATATTAATTAACGGGTATCCTTTACATAGTATAATCCAAACAATATATATATTAAGAATAATAATAAACAATTTTAGTCACTAATTTCTAGATTACAATATTTACAATTAATATTTAATCCAATAGCCATCCTTTTCAATCACTCGTTGCAAACTGCTGTTCGTGGAGTTCACCAGATTGTGGAAAATTTGTGGCCTCTCCCGAAGACTGTTCCAAGTTGTATATACATAATCGCTAATGGCCCATACATTTTCGAGTGGATTGAAATCCGGGGACTTAGCAGGCCTATCTACTTTAAAAATGTCAGGACAATTGGTAAACCAGTTTAATGTTACGTGAGCTGTATGAACGGAGCTATTATCTTGCATAAAAATAATCTGGAGGAACTCGGCTTCTAGGAAAAGTGCTCTTGCAGAAAGCATCATCACCTGCTACAGAATATCTACCATACATATTCCACCATCATGTGAGTTGAGGTTTCATGTATTTTTATGATACCTGCTGCACTCATGCATTCCCAAAAACGATAAGTTATTTATCCGCTGTGATAATCCACAGCCACATAGAGCAGATCTAACCGTGTATCTCCTTTAGGTTGCTAGACACGTAATCTTCCATCTTCCGAGGACGAGAATACCTAAATTTCAAAAATTCAGGACATGAATGGAATCTTCTCATTTTACAGGTTTGTATTTAAGGAGGTTTAAGGCAAATGCAATATATTAATAATTACTTGCAAAAATTACATTTTTGTAATATTATTAAAGTAATATTATTAAAGTAGATTGGCCTGCTAAGTCCCCAGATTTAAATCCAATCGAAAATGTGTGGGCCATTATGGTTAGAGAGTGGCGATCAGGCCAAGTCAGAACCCGACAGGCCTTAATTGATCACGTACACACAACTTGGAACAGTCTTCGGGAGAGGCCACAAATTTTTCACAATCTGGTGAACTCTATGAACAGTCGTTTGCAACGTGTGATTGAAAAGGATGGCTATTGGATTGAATATTAAATGTAAATATTGTAATCTTTAATTGTAAATATTGTAATGTTATTAGAAAATAGTTTATTAAATTAAAATTGTTTATTATTGTTCATTAAATTAAAATTGTTTATTATTGTTAATATAAATACATATTGTTTGGTTTCTACCATATGTAAAGAGTACTCATTTATAATATTATCCTCTTCCGTCAAAATCTTAAAAGACTCGAATTATTCTTGTTGAAAATTTCTTCTTGTTTGTTTCCATCTATAAAAGAAGAAAAATGCACAAAGATATTTTTCCTTAATTTTTTATAGTTTTAAATAAATTTAAAAAGAAAGAGTAGCAACTTATCTGATAAATTATGTGCCGTAAATAATTGAAAATTTGATTATGTAAATATATTTTCAAACGAAATTTACGACTGTCAACAGTGTCAACAAAACTTTAATCACACACATTCGAGGTGTAACGAACACGGGTTATAGAGGTTGGAGAAATTCACGCAATATCGCCGGTTGGTTACGATTTGTCTACTATAGCCATGAACATGAAAACGACCGAGAAAGTAAACGCGATGCTTCAACAGTGGATGTGACGTCATACGGTTGGAAGGCATTAATTGCGCGATCTGTACGAACGCCACGAAGGCACTTTTACAGAAGGTGCTAAAGGTCTAATCGAGGAAGAACGTAAACAGTTACTTCTTAACGCATTGGGCGATGACGAATATCAACGTTTGTTAAGCCGGTTGTTGCCTACTAAGCCATACGATTTGAGTTTCTCTGACCTCGTCAAGCAACTAAAGAAACAATTTCACGATAACAAGTCGCTTTTTCAACGCCGCTTCGAAGCTCTAAATTTTCGGGCAACGCCGCCCATGGCGGTAATCGATATTCTTGATCGAATAAGAATCCTGGGAGATGCTTTCGAAATTAATAATTTCAACATTGACCAACTTAAAATTTTGCTTACTGCAATTTCACTTAGCGACCATGCTTATCATACTGAACGTGCTCTCTTGTTTAAAATTACAGCTGAGAAGGAAAATTGCACCTACAGTGACATTAGAGAAATTTGTTACGCCCACGTAGAACATACTGCGGATGTAAGACGCGTCGAAAACCAGCATAGCCACGAAGTTAATGCCGTACAAAAAGTGGCTGGAACAAAAGGCTCGAATAAGGAAGCCAAGAACCACACTAAGCCGACTAAGAAGAAATTGTCATCTTCGCAATGCCGCGGCTGTGGCCTTACGACACACAAAAGAGAAGACTGTCCGTTCAAAGACGCGGACTGCAGGATTTGCAAAAAGACTGGTCATATAGCAAAAGTCTGTCTCTCTAAAGGTAAGAAGAAAATCGAATCGATTCATTTGGAAAATGTTTCAGGTGCTTCTCCTAAGCATAGAAAATACGTGGAAATTTTGCTTAACGGAAAAAAGCTTAAAATGCAATTAGACACTGGCGCTGATGTAACTACAATCGGAATTAAAGTATGGACGAAATTAGGACGCCCTACGCTGCAACCGTACAAATCTTCTTGCGTAAGCGTCTCAGGTCAAAGAATTAAGATAGAAGGATTCTTTCATGCGACCTGATGTACAAAGGAAATTCCACGAAGGGTTCGGTTATCGTTTTAAATCGCCCTAATACAGCGCTTATCAGTGCACAAGTTATCGACGAACTTAAGTTAGTAAAATACGACGAGGGAGTCTCGAATGCCGACGGCATGATTAACGAAATCAAGGATACATCATTGCTCAATAAATATCCAAATCTCTTCAGTGACAAACTAGGAGAATGCACTAAGTCAAATGTCAAGTTACGCCTTAAGCCGAATACTCAACCTACGCACGCTACACGCCGTCCAGTACCGCTTGCGCTGGAGGAACAGCTCAGTTTCGAGCTTGATCGGCTCGTGGAAAACGGGATTTTAACACCCGTAGATGTTTCAGAATGGGCAGCCCCCATTGTCGTCGCAAGAAAATCAAACGGGAATATACGCATTTGCGCTAATTATTCCACAGGATTAAACGAAGCTCTGGATGCGGATGACTTCCCCATTCCAAATATTGAAGATATTTTGGCCAAGCTTCAAGGGAACACCGTCTTTTCACAACTCGATCTATCCGAGGCATATTTTCAATTAAAGTTGGACGAGGAAAGCAAACCTTTGACAACTATAAATACTCATCGAGGATTGTTCATGTTCAATAGGCTGGTTTTTGGTCTGAAACCGGCCCCAGCTATTTTCCAACGCACATTAGAGCAAGCTCTTGCAGATATCCCTGGCGTTGTGGTATATCTCGATGATATTCTCATCTATGGTCGTAATCGTGACGAGCACGACGAGCGCCTCAACGCAGTTCTAAATCGTCTTCAAGACTGGGGATTTAGACTGGGCATCAGAAAATGTAAGTTCCACATGCCTTCTGTGAAATATCTAGGCTTTGTTATTTCTTCCAGAGGTATTGAACCAGATTCAACTCGTGTCAAACCAGTTAAGTCTATGAAAGAACCAAGCAATACAAAGGAAGTTAGAGCATTCTTGGTTTGGTAAATTATTACGGGAAGTTCGTTCCAAATTTACATCGTTTAAAAGCACCCTTAGAACTCTTACTTAAAAAGGACGCTCCTTTTGCCTGGAATTCTGCTTGTAAGAAAGCTTTTCATAAGATTAAGGAAGTGCTAACGGGTCCACTGATTCTCGCTCATTTCGACCCTCAACAATCATTAATTGTCGCTGCCGATGCGAGTCCTACAGGTATCGGTGGTGTTCTGCTTCAACGCTATCCCGATGGACAAGTAAAAGCCATTTTTCACATGTCAAAAGCTTTGACGAAAACGCAACAAGGTTATAGCCAAATAGAAAAAGAAGCATTGGCACTGGTTACTGTCGTTGAACGTTTTAGAAAGTTTTTATATGGCCGACATTTCATACTTCAAACAGATCATCGGCCCCTTCTGGTTCTGTTCCGTTCGTCTAAAACAAAAGGATTGGATACTCGTACTGCAAATCGCTTGAAGCGATGGGCCCTTCGCCTCATTGGTTATGATTTCGAGATAGAATATGTCAAATCTGAGCATTTCGGTCAAGCAGACGCCTTGTCCAGACTTATTCAAGAAGCCAAAGCAGGTTCTACCGATCCAGAATTGGAAGAAGTCGTCGCTTCATTGCAGGAAATAGAGACGGAATTACAACAGTTAGTTCAAGAATCAGGTTGTTTTCTGCCTAAAACAGCTCGGGAGGAGCTACAACGGGCTACATACAAAGACGGAATTCTAGCCGAGGTCATCGATCGTTTACAGACTGGTTGGTTAAGTTCCGATACCAAAGACAGTGATCTACTTCACTATTATCGCCGTCGTGACTATCTATCTGTGGTGGATAGAACGCTCGTATCCGACGACAAGATCGTGATACCGCATAGCCTTCGACCGGATGTACTCCGTCAGTTACATGTGGCACACCCGGGTATTCGTCGCATGGTGCAGTTGGCCCGACATTATTTCTACTGGCCCGCCATGAAATCCGACATCGAGAAGTTTGTCAAAAGCTGCAAACATTGCGCAGAGACTGCATCGAATCCTATCAAGGAACAACTTCATCCATGGCCAGAATCCAAATCGTCGTGGGAACGTATCCACATGGATTTTGCTGGGCCAATTCAAGGACAATGGCTACTCATTATCGTTGATAGCTATTCTAGATTCGTGGATGCCGAATGGTTTTCAACAATTACAGCAGCAGCTACCTGTAAATATCTACGCCGTCTATTCTTCAGATATGGTCCACCCAAAGTGATTGTATCTGATAATGGTACTCAATTTACGGCAACGGAATTCGCTCAACTCTGTACTGAGTTTAATATTATACACTTACGTAGTCCCCCAGGACATCCTCAATCAAATGGTCTAGCAGAGAGGATGGTAAATACATTAAAGCGTTTATTGGAGCTGCCGACTTCGTCGCAGAAGGAGACAAGATTGAACCAAGTCTTGTACACATCTGGAGACACGGTAGTGTCTCGGCGCTAAGCCAAGCGCGCGACACTGCCGTGCCTCCTTTACGCGACACGGAGAATTTTCGGGGTCGAGATGATCAGATCTCAGTAACGGCTGAACCTATCAAGTTCTACATACGTTCAATCGACAGGAAATACTTAAATTGTATAATAAAAGTGCTTTCATTTTTTTCCAACGTGCCCTACGAGCGGAGATATCGCGACGCAAAGTCCGGATCTGTGAATTTTCACGTTTCAATTTTTAAGATACGTCGTCGTCAACGTCGTCGACCAGAGAAAATGTCCATCTCGTTTTTTCGATAATAGAGGGCCTTCGACTTTATGTGTTATCTCACTCTATCTATCATCTCACTCTATCTATCTATATCTAACCAGCAGACCAGTTAGTATATGTTCTGTGAGACCAGTGTTGCATGGTGTATCACATATGACGCGCGCGCGATTTTAATCTTATAATTAAAAATAAAATATTATTCAAT